TATATATATATATATATGTATAATATATATAAATATCATATACCTTTTTAAATTACCACCACGCTACATTTAGCCGCATTAAAGTGTATCTATTGTGTTTCAGTGCATTTGATGTTTCACATGATTGTCATACATTCTGATGATTCGTATATGCAGAATCGCAGATATCTTTTTCGCAAATGCGTTTTGTGTTTGTGACTGTCATTATAGGACAAATGATATGAGATGTGAGAGTGGGAGGAGAAAAAAAGGTGTGAAAATTGACAGTGTATTTTGTTCGTCGAAATGTACTTAATTTATTTAAGTATGTTATTTGCTATAAATTATAATTGCGTAATGAATCATTCTCAAATGAATTATATCATACGTACAAATGGCACCTTCGGAACACTATTTTGAAGCGTTTTGTTCAAAAGATGTTTTTTTTTTAATTTTATGTATTGCGTTTCGCGCATTGGTTATGCACATATAATTAATCATTTAGTCATTTTTCACAAATGGTAAAAAATAAAAATAAATAATACGTCATGTGCACATTATATGTGAAACGGAATACATCTTTTAACAAGAATTTTGCACACATTTATGCTATTTTGTTAAAAAATATGTATATTATATATTTTAATATTTTAACAATTTTTTAGTTATTTGTATAATATTCACATCATACAATTTTTGATGTAATACAATTTTTAGGATGCAAACAAATACTTTTTTCTAAGTTTTTTTTCTATCGTTGGAATGTGTTGTATTTTAAAGCATATATAATGTGAAAATTTTTAATATTTTAAATGAAAAATAGTATAAAATTTATAGTAGTTTTCAATTAGCAGTGCAAAAATTTGGTTTACTCTAATTATTTTGTACTTAAACAATAGCTAATGTTAGCAACAGAGGATTAATTTTTTATACAAAAGTGTTTTTAAAATTCTTCATGATTTCAAAAATTTTGATATTTTAATTGTTATTCGAGGTACAGTAATTGAAGACGGTAAAGCTGAGTAATACTTCTTTACTAAACTAAGAACATACAATTATAACATTTATACAAAAAACACGTTAAAACATGGTTCTATTTATATTGATTATTTATGTTTGTACATAAATAATTAAATTTTTGTTTATTTCCTTGCTTAATTTATAACTCACGGAAATATTTTCATACGAAAACCCCAAATACTTTTTCAAATTTTTTAAAGCTGCAGTACTTAAAACTACCCAAATTTATAGAGAATATCATTTTTCAAGTACAGATCTGAAAAGTAAAGATTTCAAACTTTAAAATGCTTTTTTAATCATCTCGGTACGATGATTTTTCACGAAAATATTCTATCTCAAAGTTTGCCTATTTTTGCAGGGTGGAACAAGTGATCCTTTAGTTTTGTTGAAAAGTGTATTAAACTGGATAGTTAAAAAGCAAATGATTAATGTTTTTCCCAATGTTTACATAACGCTTAGAATATTTGTAACTATACCAATAGCAAATTGTGAAGCAGAAAGATCTTTCTCTATTCTTAAAAGAATAAAAAATATGTACAGAACAGTGATGTTGGACGAACGATTAACATCTTTAACTGGCTTAGCAATCGAATCTGAATTACTAAAGGCCATCACACGTACAAAAATTTTAGTAGTAATCGTAAGTTCTTAAGCAAATCGACCAATCACAATCAAGATTAAGATCTCACATTTTAATACGCTAAACTGTGATTGGCCGATTTGCTTAAGACCTTACGATTACTACTAAAATTTTTGTACGTGTGATGGCCTTAAGATCGATTGATTTTCATAATTTAGTACAAGATTTTGTAAAATTAAAATTGAGAAAAAAACTTTTAACTAAAGAATGTATTAATTTATTTATTTGTCTCTAATCTTTATATGATTCAATTTTAATGTTTATTGTTTTGGATTAAATAACCTAATTATACTGCTTTACGTATTGAACGTGATCATCCTCTTTTTTTTTTTAAGATTGAAAAGAAGGGCCCCCTAAAGTTAAATAGCCCCGGGCCCCTCAACTCTTTAATCCGAGCCTGCTTATCAACTGCAATTGCATCACCCTCAGAAATAACACATGCGGACGATAGCGATATAAACGAGCATAATGTCAGGATGGCGAACGCGGTAATCTGAATATGTCATGTAATTGTTTTATGCGGTTTATTATGTGATGTCGCATAGTATATGTGTGATATAGGAAATTTTTTTCATCATCTCAAAAATTAAAAATAATCTCATAATATATTATCACTTGTCGAATATAACTTAATTATTTTTATACTACATATACAGGGTGTCCCAGTAATTCTGTTACAAGGCAATATCTCTGTTACCGTTAATGATACGCGAAAATGTCTAAGGAAGAAATTGTTTGGTTCGGAGGGAAACATGTATTGGTCACCTTGTTTCTTTTCTAGGTGGAGGCGCTAAAAAGATATAAAGGTCACCTCCACTTTTTTAAATGGAATTATGTAATTTTTTTTAGATAACGTGATTCCTCTAATTATTTTGCATGTAAAAGTATTAAGGTACAATAACCAAAAATCAACAGTTTACGAGTTATTTAACATTTTGTGTCAATATGTATCAAAATAAAGTATAGAAATAATTTTCTAAAATAATTTAAATTCATATGAAAAAGAGAATTTTAAATAATTTAATTGTACAAAGAATATAAAAATTTTGTATATATGGATATAAAAGAATAAAGTTTAAAGAACGACTTGAAATTAAGGAAATGAGATTTTACTGTTTTATTTTCGTGTAAGATTAGAGTATAAAATTTTCTTCAAATCCCTTTAAATATAAAGTCATGCTAGTGAAAACATATATAGCAATGTTGTTTTTATCAGAATTATCACAAATATCCAAATTGAATTTAAATAATTATTATAAATGACTTTTTTCAATATTTTCCACGTAGATATTCATTATTATAATAAATATAATACTTTTCCAAAACAAAATTATAGTTTTAATGTTTAAATTTTATTCATTATTTATTTCCTAAAAAACATATGGAAATAGAATTTTGCATCCTTTACGTTTTTATATTAAGATAAGAAATGTTACTCCCCTCTACTTTTCTAAACTGGAAAATACTAAGGATTTCTTAAAATTTACCCTGAAAATATAGTAATTATGGTACAATACAATAAAATTAAAAATTTTTACCATGCACTACAGTAAAATTAATCATACATATTTTATTGTAGCTTTATGAATGAATGTGAGAGATTCACATAAAAATTCTTCGAAATATAATGTTGTCCCACGATTACTATATTTTCAGGGTAAATTTTAAGATATAATTCTTTCTGTGATACGACGCGGCGTAGTAAAGTTAATATAGAAGCAGAAAACGCCAACGCAAGGCGTATTACCGCTTCGCATTCCACTCATTTTACTAATGTTATATAATTGCAAACTATTATAGTTACCACGATTTCGCTGCATCACAACCAGTCGCGGACGATATGTAGTTAAGGCTACATCGATTTATCCAACCAAACGTTATTCATCGTCCAAGAAAAGCAAAATGACTGTCATACTGGTATCTTTGATTCTTGGGGCGTTTATAGCTTTTTACTTTTACCTGACGCGAAATTACAAGTATTGGCAAAAACGTGGAATTCCGTGCGTGGATGGTGCCTTGCCCGGATTTGGTAACATGTTGTCGGTGATCTTAATGAGAACGGATCTTTCTGACTTCTGCTGCAAGATTTACAATGATAACAAGGGTCGCAGCATGGTCGGTCTCTACGACTTCACGTCGCCAGCGTTGATGGTCTTAGAACCCGAGTTGATAAAAACGGTGACACAAACCAATTTTTCAAGTTTCTCTAAAAACGCCGTTGATGTTAATCCTGATACAGACCCACTTCTTGCACATAATCCATTTGTCCTTGATGGTGAGAAGTGGGCGAACAACAGAAAACGCGTGGCTTATGCATTCTCTCCCATGCGATTGAAGATGCTGTTAGAAAGTGTTAAACAAGTGTGTACAACATTCGAAAAATACATGAACGAAAAGCTGAACAATAAACAGACGGAATTCGAAACAAAGGACTTGTTTGCCAGGTACACCGCACAGGTGGTAGCCGCCGCTGGTTTTGGCGTAGATGGATTCTGCTTCGATGACGAGAAAAAGAATATATCCTTCAAAAAACTTGGACAATCCATTTTCGAGCCGTCATTACGAAATTCATTTGCGTTCGTTGTCTTCATTCTGGCTCCATCATTAAATAAAATCTTTAAATTAGGCTTCATTCCAAAGCATGTTGACAAATTCTTTAGGGCACTGGTTCCAGAACTCATAGAGCAAAGAAGAAAAGACGGAATACCCAGAAATGATTTTCTTCATTTGATGGTTGAACAGGAGAAAGCGGAAGGCGATAAATTTGACCTTGAAATGATCACGGGTCATGCTATGTCGTTCATCGTCGACGGCTATGAGACGTCCAGCACTGTTTTGAGCTTCGTTGGATTTGATTTGGCCTATCGTCCAGAAATACAGGAAAAATTACGGGAAGAAGTGTTATCCGTACTTAAGAAATATAACGGAGAAATTACTTATGAAGGCTTGAAAGAAATGACATATATGGATCAAGTCTTCAATGAAACACTCAGATTGTTACCCGCAGGAGTGGTGATAAAAAAACGTTGCACGGAAGAATGCGAACTGAAAGGATCGGATGGAATTACTTGTCGCGTAGAACCCGGAACGGAGATTTTGATTCCAGCCCAAGGTCTGCACAAAGATCCTCAATACTGGGAAAATCCCGAAGAATACGATCCTGAAAGGTTTAATTCGGAAAGGAAAAACAACATCGAGAAATTCGTGTTTCTTCCATTTGGTGCAGGCCCTCGAATGTGTCTCGGTATGAGAATGGCTCAACTACAAATGAAGGCAGTTTTGACAACAACTTTAAGAAAATACAAGATAGAATTATCTCCAAAGACTCAAATACCTTTAAAGATGATCCCTGGTAATATTTTACCAACACCGTACGGCGGGCTGTGGGTTTATTTTCAAAAGCTTTAAATGTACCTTGTTTTAAATTTCTTTCTAATTTTCAACGTCATAAATAATTTTTTATTGCCGAAGGAAATATTTGTGTAATTAATTTGCATATAAAAATAAAATATTTTTGTATATTTAAACACATTTTAATTATTGTATTTTTACATAAGAAAAAAAAAGGTATAATTTTATTGTTTACAATATATTCTCTCATACACTTTTTATAAATTTTTAATTTATTAAGAAAATGGGCAAGGATGTAATCTTTTTACGGAAAAATGTAGGATATTTATAATAATTATAATCCTTTTAAATATTTCTTTATATACGTACATATATATGTATATATTTATATATAGGTGTGTTTCGTTCAGACATATAATAAAAGAAAAATTTGCAACATCCAAAATATTAGTTTTAATGACAAATTATGGATTACTATTATAAGTGTAGTTCTGAATTTTTTAAATAAAATTATAAATCCAACGATTTTAGACACGTAGCAAATGCGCAGACCATCTACTCTGTCGAGAGGCTTCTACGTCGCGTTCCATGTAGTGACACAACAGCAAATATTTTATGCGTTATTGCTTGCGCAATTAAAGTCCATGACGCTTATACAGCGCGTTTTAACTTTTGCGTTTTATTGAAAAAACGACAATACATGAAACACTTTCCGCGTGGCGTTTCACATGGAGACTGGTACAATAGATGCATCCAGTAGCGCAGTAGCAGTACTGTTTACTAAGCAGCTGAATAACAATTTCATTATGTAAATGTATTTAAATGATGGATCTAAAAATA